AAGGAAGGAAGGAAGGAAGGAAGGAAGGAAGGAAGGAAGGAAGGAAGAGAAGAACAGAACAAGAACTTGCCTGGGTCACCTAGGTGCTCTCTGAGTATAATCTCAGGCCTCCTTGGGACACAGGCAATTCTGACAAGAGAGGCTGAGTGACCACAGAGGCAGGGACTGGAAAGACGCAGTCACAAGCCAGGGTACGCCAAGAAGAGTCCACAGAAGTGTTGTGTCCTTGGGAGAGATTCTCCTGCCTCTCCCATGAGCCTCAGCGGGGCACAGCCCTACCCACACATATTTCAGCATACAGACCACTGTAAGAAAACATCCAGCCTGAGGTGAGCAGAGCGATGAGGCCTCACACCTATGCTCTCCCTCCCTGGGTGACCCTGGAGGCCTTCTTGGCGGCCCTCCCAGCTCCCAGAGCAGGAATTCATCTTCCAGGTACTCAGACACCTCCTGTAGGCTCTATGCCCGCCGCTTTATGCTCCATGGAGAAAGAGGTCCCAGAATACTTGCTGAGGGAATGAATCATAAGTGCTGACATCCCGGCCCTTGGGGTTAGTGACATTTTCCAGAAAAGGTAGCCACAGGAAGAAATCGAGGGATGCTCTGCCTATCTGACAGTCCTACCTCACTCCACATAGCCAACATACCAGGATCCCTGTCTCCACTAGGACCTGAAGAGTTCCCAGTCCTGCCACACAGACACAGGGAAAGTCCAGGTGTCTGCCATCATTCAGCTACCAAAGCAGCAAGACCTGTCCTAAATCCTTGTCAACAACTTACCCACTTACTGCAACCACACTGCAGACAGTCTATACACCCGAAGACCTGGCCTGCTGACATGGACCAAGCTAGACAGCTCAGAAACCGCCAATGGCTCTAGGTGAGAGATTTTACTGAGGTCAAAGGAACAGGTGTCTCTTCCCACAAAAGCACCAGGGTGCACAAAGTGGCCTCCTAGTGTGTGTTCCTGTTCACAGCCCTGAGCAACATTATATAGTTGACAAGAGCCTAAGAACCCCATTTCTGACCCATCCCCACCAGTGATCGTAAGTCACTTCCCAGGTCACTCCCCTGGCTGGGTCTTACTTGCCTCACCAACTGAAGGAGAGGTGGCAGAGGCAGAGCGAATCCTCACACCGTGTTGTTCCCCAGAGAGAAGCCAGGGCTCCAGAGAGGTCCCCGCAACACTTTAACCTCCACATCCCCATTTCTTTGATGGGATTTACTTAGACTAAGGGGCATTGTTCACTTTAAAGAATAAGGCAGATGCTGTGACCTTGGTCCTAGTGTCTGAGGCCACACACCCGGATCTCTTCGAGTAGTGAGTAGTGTCACAGTCCAGCAAGTGGATGACTTACACTGTCTGTGCCCACGCAGCCCACAGGGTGGGCCCTGCTGGCTCTTGGGGGCAGCACAGTCTTCGTGGGGTCTGCCTTCCCATTGTGGCATGTGCGGGACCTGTCAGAGCTCCACAGCTCAAAGCTGGACGGGGGCAGGAAGGGTGGGATGACGGCCTTCAGCTTGTCACTGGGGAGCCGGGGGAAGGGAGCTCCGTTTCGCAGCTGAAAAAGACGAGCCAGGATTAGATGGGCCCAGGAAGTTCCCACACTGGAGAAGGATCCAGGCCCCCAGCACCATAGATGGCGGCACCTCTGAACAGTTCTCCACTGGCGAGAGGAGCCCAGAAAGCATTTCAGGCTCTCCTGGCAGAAACCCACTGCGCTGTGGCAAGAGGAGGGTATGGACAGGGACAGCAAACCAGAGACTAAGAGATGTTAAAGCAGCGTACAAAGGGGATGGGGCAAAGAACATTCCAGACATAGGATGGGCAAGACGTAGGCATGCCTGGAGCCAGGGGTACAGGAGGAGGTGCAGAGCCTCAAAACCAGCATGTGTCATGCTGGGATAAGCGTAAGGGGCAGAGGCTGGGGGCTCCAAGCCCAATCACACCCATCCACACCCTCCACACCCTAGCCATGACTCCACCATAGATATCCCTTTAACTGTGACTTAGTTTTACGCTGTGAATCTATACTGGGGTCAGCATAAAATTCATGCCGCGCTGACCGTTGGGTGTCTGCAGCAACATTCCGATGTCCACATTTATTTTAATTAAGGAAAGGCTGAACATGGTACCAGATGGTCCTCCAAGGGGACGGACATCCCACGGCTAACCCTGCCTGGGGATGGGCAGGCGAGCAGGCAGGCAGCTTTGCATCAGTGGCTGCAAACATCCACCCTGGGGGCAACAGAGCTATGGGCCCACAGCCATCCACCACGGGCCACCGAGGGAGCCCACTGGTGCCCTCTGCTGCATATGAGCAGTGGGACAGAAGAGTGCCAGGGCTGGAGGCGAGCCTCCTAGGCTGGGTTCATAGGCTGAGCTAAGCTGTTTCTCTGCCAGTCTGTAAATGGGCATCATCCTCTCTGGAACAGACAAGCTTCCTCTAACTGACAGGAGCTGGGCTAGATACTCAGGGCAGCCAGCCCACCACAGGTAGGCATTTCTATGACCCTCTGGAAGCCAATGACTTTCACATTCTTTGCCTAAGGAATAATCAGGAAGCTGAGGAGACAGCAGTATGAGGATGTTCAGCAGAGCTCTTAAAATTACCAAGAGCTATAGACGGCCCACCCCAACTCCCACGGTTTCTGTCTGGGGTGAAGTCATTCTGTGATGGAATGTCCTGTCACACGGCTATTAAACATGATGTGGCTAAACAAGGTTTTAATGACGTGGAAAAGATCATGGGAAACTGTTAATAAATCAGACCCAACACACTATGGGAAAATTGTCACACCACTGGTGTTGCACAGCTCTGGGGAGGTTGGGTGAGAATGTGTACAGAGCTGAGCACTTAGGAAGTGCTGAGGTATTTGCTGTTCTTAGTATAACATGATACCACAATCCTGGATAATAAAAATGCTTAGGAAAAACCCACAAAGGATAAAAACCGAAAATGCCACCGTGACTCACTCTGGATGTGTGATCATCATCATCTTAGGGGCTTCTAATTACACCCGATGGCCAGGCTAAGTATGGACGAAGGCAGAGACCACTCTGCTTGGCAGCTCTGTGTCTGCCTACCCTGCCTAAGCTTGGTAAGCAAGTTGCTCAGGCTCGCCTGTCCTTGACAATGCTGCCCTCTGCTGGCCAGAATTAGGATCTCGGTGCCAAGGTGCTCTAACCGGAGATTAATGGTACCAAAGAACACCAAGCCCAGAGAGGTGAGGTCACACAGTCAAGGTCAGACAGCACTAGGCTGAAGGCCTCTAGAGAGACAATCTCCCTTCACAACTACCACTGTGATGATAATCACCCCATAGTTAGAGGCAGCTTTCCTGCCAGGATCTACCTTCCACATCTCCTCAGCAATGACAACCCTGGTGTTTAATAGGGACCTCACCACCTGCACAGATTTCACGGGCTAGCCTGCACAGTGCGCTGTGCCCAAGTGACTAGACTGCAAACCTTCTGCCATGAGCAGAAGTGACACGTGGGATCCTCTCCCTCTTCCTCACTACAAAAACTGAACGGTTTTCCTTCATGTGACATTCAGTGTCACCACAGAGCCCCAGCCACACAACCAAGAAATCACAGATGGGAACTCTAGAACCATAAGCTAAAAAAACAAACCAACAAACAAAAAACAAACAAACAAAAACCTTCCTTTTAACTTATATTCAAAAGGTTCTGTCTTAGCAGTGGAAAGTCCAACACAGGTTGTAATGGCCAGAGCTATGCAAGTCCTCTTGGACTGGAGGTAGCCATGGTACCTGAGAATAAAAGAATCTAGGTTCTCAACTCTGTGGAGTAAGCTTCTTATTTGTGCCACTGTGACCTCAGAGGCCTTTTGATACTCTTAGCTTACCCTAACCCTAAGCTTACAGGTCAGGAAACTGAGGCCCTTCTAGACTAGAAACACCCCTTCCTCAGCTCCCTGACTTAACCAGAATGGTGAGTCTTCCTGTTACTGCTGGCTGCCCATCGATCTCTCCCATCTGGTCCCTACAACACGGCCAGGACTTAGGTGTGGCCACTAAGATCTGGGGATGTGGTTCCACCAGAGCGGCGTTTCCCTAGCATGCTGTACACACGAGGCCCAGATACTGTGTGACTGGGCATGATGGATCCCTTCATCCCAGCCCTCGGGAGACAGAGCAGGAGAATTAGACATTAAGTCACCCTTGGCTTCACTGCAAGTGTGGGGCCATCTTGGGTTGTATGAGACCCTGAGTGTTCACAAGGCCTCATTTTCAGTTTAAGGCTGACATCTGCTCTGATCTCTAGAAGCCAGTGCTTCACTCGATGGTACCCATTCTGACCATCCATCTACCCGTGGCTACCATGGAGGCAAACACTCATACCCTTCCTCCTCAGAATCAAGCAGCCAGGGACTGGCAGTCATGCTGACTGTAGAAGAGTAGGCAGCAGTAACTAGCACAGAAGCCCGTTCTGCTAAGCTACCACAGGCCGGGCTTGCTGTTCATGCTTTTAGACACCACTCACCATGGTTGTCAGTAACACATCTTCCTTCTCTCTTCTTGGGTTCCCAGGACCTGCAAAACAAATAGAAGCTTCCTGAAATGGCCTTCCCTGTGACCACAGCCTGCAGAGTGGTGCTGGGGCTCCACATCCTGGAAATCCAGCTCCCCTGGGGACTTAAATATTTAATAACAATCAGTGTTCAATATACTGACAGATGGAAGGCATTTAAAGTCCTCTCAGAGTATGTTTCCAGCCTCTGTCATGCTGGGTCAGAGAGTAGCCTGTCCACTCAATAGTCTGTCTCTAACAGTGGTTCCAGAGGGGTCGATCCAGGATGGGAACCTGACTTCTGGAGGGATCTTATCAAACCTGTTTTCCTTCCAGTATGGAAATCCTTCAGCAAAATGGCAAGGTCGTTCAGTCAGTTCAATGCCCCCGGTGGTGTGAGGCTCACTATGTTACTGTGAGAACTCACTGTATTTCAAGACACTTTCAGTACCATGAGCCAATCATGGCAGATAGTGAAGACACCAACCATCAGAGGCCGTGCCTGACCTGTGCTCCTTAGTAGGAAGTGAAGAACCAGACCTCGGGGCTCCTGTGCTGGTTACAGCTGCCCACTTTACTACACTCAGTGTAGCATGTGCCTACTCTAGTGTCGCCCAGACTAGCCACTGGTCCTATGTATCATCTCATGGCCTGCTGAAATTCAGCAGATGGAACCTGGGCCTTGGTGCCCCCACTGGAACCCACCCCAGATGCAGCTTTTCTCACCACTGTCTTTGGTTGCATGGGCTACTTCAGGTGGCCCAAGGTGACTTGTCCTGTCCTGGGGGGGTGCCCGCATGGTGGAGTCCAGCGCCAGCTCAGGCTCGTCCGAGAAAGGCAAAGGTTGGTTGGCAGCCAGCCCACGTGGCAGTGTCTGCATAAGTTTGAGCTTTCGGAACCTGTTGGACATCCGGCTCCACCAGGACTGTGGAAGGGAAGAGACAGAAGTCATCTGCAGCAGCAACAGGACAGACCCAGGGACAAGCTCCATACAGCGTCCCCCTTCCTGGGTGTCAGGCAGTCGCTGCCAAGCAGCCACTGCACCCTTCCCAAAAGACCACGCCGCTCACCAAATCCTTCCCGAGCCTTTCCAGGCCACCCCTCATCTCCTTGATGCTGTAATGCAGAGAAACACGGAACAGGGCAAGGAGCTGGCTGCTTGGGGCCTTACCATGAGCCAGGGACAGGCAGAGGCCACAAGGGGGTAGCTCCAAAAGCCTGACACTTCTCCCTGCACAGCCTCCCTCCACCTGTGCTAAAGATGTCCCGGAGATCGACAGAACTAGAACCTAAGCCAACTGTCTTCTCCCAGGGCTGAGTGAAGAATCAGGCCTACAGCCCAGCATCCTCAGCAGCCCCCGTCAACACACAAAGTGGTGAGATGGGGTCATGGCCACAGGAGACAGCATTGTTAAGACCAGTTTGGGCAAGCCACAGAGAAAGGCAGGCCAGAGCAGAACGACCCCAGAGGGAGTTGGTACACAAGGCAGCGCAGGCGTCTGTCTCTAGGGAATAAAGCGAGTTTGTCTTTAAACAAGCAGGGCTGGGCGACACAATCGAGAGACACTATGAGCGACTCTGGCACTCGCAGGATGCAGCAGAGGGCTGCGGGGACCCTGCGTGGCACAGTCAGGATGGAGGGCATTAAAGTCATCTCTGTGTTTTCAGCTTCTCCAGAAGCGGCTGCTGTGCCAGGTCAGAGAGCAGCATCCCACAGGTAAAACAGAGCCATAGACCCAGTGCATGTGTGGTCTGTCCAGCTCAGGACTACATCCTGCAGGATTAAAAAGAAACAAACAAACAAACCCTCTCCATTTATAAATTGGTTCTACACCACTGTCTTGATTTCTGCCTTGTCCTAAAGTTGAGGTGAGCAATTCAAGGCCTCAGATTCTTGCAAAGCAGCTAATGCGATCACCCCAGTCTCCTTGGGTCGCCTCATTTCCTATGAATTCTCCAGCTTTCTGGCTAGTCGTGCTGACAGGCCCACCCCAAAACCAATCCAGCCCTGACTACAGGAAGCGACCGCCTCCCCCAGCCCTTTCAAACCTTCAGGCCTCCCTTGTCATCAGGCAGCACAGGGACGCTCCAGGGTTGCCTGGCCTTCGAGTGGGGCAGGGGTGGCCGGTGGCTGGGCCGACCTCGGGCCTTATTCACCTGCATGCACACAGACGCCAGCAGTCGAACAAGTTCTGTGTCTGTGGGCACAAAAACCAGCGTCTGACCTGTGAACACATCTTCCTGGCCCCGGGAAGAGGTCCAAGTCAACCCTCATCAACCTTAGAGCTCGGTCCTGTAACAGTAAGGCCGGCATATCCCCTGAGTCCTCAGTTCAACCTCCTCACTTCTCTCCACTTGACGTTCTTAGAGGCCCTCTCCCTCCCAGAAGGCAGGGTGTTAAAAGGCATGGGATCTCCGACAGATCACAGCAGTTCCTATTCTGTGTCTGTCTCATCCTGGATAATGGCGGATAAATTATAGTCCCTCTGTATGGTTCACAAGGAGGTAGCATTAACCCCAGCACATAAATGTGTCTTGAGGATTTCAAGGGGAGTCCTCGGGAGCTCAAGGTGCTGGCATTCAGTGTGTGCTTAAGAGTGTTTTAAATCACATTAGCTCTTCCTGCAAGCACCTAGGGCAACCTGTGAAAATGGTTGACTCTTCTCTTGACCCAGAAAACCCTACGAAATCATGCAAATCAAGAGGTTCAGGTCTTCATGCTCACTTTAATGACATTTGTGAAAAGGCCAGGGCCAGCAGAGGTATGCATATCTGAAAAGCTACCAGGTACCTCGAGGATATCTTTAAAGAATCAGTGTGTGCCATTCCAGTGGTATAATGGGGGAGCTGGTAGGAATGCCCAGGCCAAACGGTGAGGCTGGGCACTGTATTGGTGCCCCCAAAACAGTGCTCATTTTTCCTACACATGCTTAAAAACTCAGAGGGTGATGCTGAATGTAAGATTTAGATGTAGCTTCTCCATTCACTGAACATCTCCAGGTAGCCAAGCTCCCACAACACTTAGCTGAAGCTCTCGGAGTCTGGTTAAGCCACAGATGAACTCCCTGGCCTCTCTGAGATGGCCTCACTGAAAAAGGAGCATGCTGTCCCTAGAGAGGAGGCAAGCTGACACTTCCCAGGGGAAACGGCACTTTTGACACTGGAGAAAAGTCACCATAAAATAAATGCAAATATAAATGTTTTAAATGCGTTATTAGTTATTGTGGACTCAACTAGGTTGTTTTAGAAAGCATGTTGGGCAATATTGGGAAGAAAGCAGTCAGAGCTCCTAGGCTTGGGAAGGCACCCTTGTGTACTGATGGACGCACAGGTCAAACCCCAGAGAGGGCCCTGTGCAGGGGAGCACCTGGACTCATCTGAACCCCTCTACCTGTCCATATTTCCAATGCCCTTTAGGATAAAGCAATAAACAAGAAAGGCAGAGGAAGCCCCAACTCTAAGCATTCAATAGCAGGCAGGTGTCTGTGGTAAATTTAAGAGCGCTAACTGCTGGGCTCAGTTCCCAGCACCCACACAGGCGCAGTTTGTATCAGCCTGTAGCTCTAGTTTCAGGGGATCCAATGTCCTATCTGGCCTTCATGGGTACTGCCTGTATGTAGTGCACAGCTGTCCATGCAGGCAAACCACTCTATTAACATTTTTTCTAATCATAAAAAAATCTCTAAAGCGCTAAGAGTGGGTGTGCCAATACCCACAATCCCAGCAGTCAGGAAGCTGAGTTTAAAGTCAGCCTGGAGAACACAGTGAGACTCTGTCTTGTGAAAAAAAGAGGGAGGAGAAGAAAGAGGAGGAGAAGAAAGAGGAAGAAGAGGAGGAAGAAGAGGAAGAGGAGAAGAAGGAAGAGGCGGAAGCAGAAAACTAACTTCTAGAAGTCATCTTCTGACCTCCCGTGCACCGTGACATGCACAAAGCAAATGTAGTTTTTACAAAGCCTCCGTTCTCATAACAGGGGGCTGGGATACCGGCCCAGGCTCAAAGCCTATGGCTCAGGAGGTCTCTGAACGTCTCCATCTCTAGACTGAACCTTTAGGATAAACAAGAGAACGACATGCCAGAGAGACCCAGCCCCTTTTAGGACCAGTCAGAGCAGGAGTGGCACAGAGGGGAAAAGCAGAGCCAACAACCATCCAGAGAAGAAGGGCAGACATGACTAAAGGACCTCTGCCCCTCACAGGGCACAGGGCCTTCTTCTCCATTCAGCTTTCCCTGTCAAAGGCCCTTAGTGTTTCCTGCAAAGTCACTTAGTATCTCTGGCTGTGACCACAGAATGGCTCTAGGTCCTAACAGCCTGAAAAGTCACATGCTCTTGTCTGTTCTCTCTCCGACAACTCTGGGATCGATAGTGCTGGAAGAAGGCTGCCATAGCAAGTCCCAAGGGCATGGGGTGTGCGCTTGACCCCTGAGACTGACTGCTCTATGAATCGGGCTTCATACAATGAAGGGAGGCAGTGCTCTGGTGCCCAGGCGAGGAAGGCTATGGAGGCTGAGCAGTCTGCGGCCTTACTCACCAGGATCATTCAGCAGCATCACCAGGTCAAAGGCTGTGTACCCGTTTTTGGCTCGAAGAGTAACATCAGCCCCTTGATTTAGCAGATACTTTACAATTTCTTTATTTCTGGGGAGCAAAGAGGCAGGCGGTTAGACTCCCTATTCTCATTTGGGTATTGATCACCCTACAGCTCATATGCAAAGGTCACAGGAAGGTGCTGTGGACCACTAGAGTGGAGCCTTATAGAGGTCTACTGGTCATTGCGTATGTGCCCAAGGGTGGTTTGGACCACTGGCTTTGCCTCCTGGATTAAGCACTTTCTTGGACACTTGCTCTCTGCCCATGCCTTGGATACTTTCACCAGATGTTGGAAGTCTCGGGACCTCTCCATCTTGAACAACAACCTGTAGACCCATGAGCCAAAATAAACCTTTTCTTTATAAATTAACTGCCTTGGGCATTTTGTTAAGAGTGAAATAAAACTGGCTAATCCAGCAAGCAATAGGGAAAGTGTGGCTATGTTCCTAGACAACGAGCCTATGTTCACCAGGGCACACGATCTTCCAGTGTTTAAGCAGGACATGGCCAGTCATGCCCTGTCGCTCAGCAGGTCAGGGGCAAATGAGCTATCAGTCCTAATACTCCTCCCTAATAACAATAAAAACTGGGGCCTCTGCCCCAAAAGCACTCAGCCACCATACTTACCTCTCTGAGGACAGGACCTTCCTTCCAGAACTTTCTAGCAGGGTCAAGGATTTGAGGTTCATCAGATAAGATAATCAATGCAGGAGTGTGATATGTCCAGCTGAACCAGGCAAGAGGAGAACCCCTAAGGGGAGCCAGAACATTTAAAGGCTACAAGATGTCTCCAGTGGGGCCTGCAGAAGGGTGACAGCCTACCTGGCTGGGATGGTCACATTACTTTAAAGGGGAAGGTCAAGATGACTGTCAGTGTAAGGTCATGAAAGCTCAGGTATTTGTGGCCACTGCTCATATCACGGAGAGAATGCTTAATGGAGGTCTCTGAACCACCGTGTAAAGTGAACCAATCAGTTAAGCTGGAAACAAACAAGGAATGAATCTTTATGCTTCTGATGCACCTGCTGTGTGGGTTTACACAGTCAAGCAGCATGCTACCTGCAGGGTAACAAGTGTCCTGGACAGAGACTGAAGGCTGGCTGACTGGAGTCTCACAACCCCGTGAGGACACACAGCTTCTAACCTCTGGTGAAAGTATCCAAGGCATGGGCAGAGAGCAAGTGTTTCAAGAAAGTGCTTAATCCAGGAGGCAAAGCTGGAGGTCCAACCCCGCTTTGGGGCACATACACAATGACCTGGGCTGGCCACAGGTTGCATCTTGGGTCAGAAACCCCATCCATCCCCCAGCTGGAGTACTTGCTTGGCCTCATGTGGAGGGAGTGGGAGACACGGACCCATGGTAGGTGGCCTGCATGAGGGCCGTCCAGCCATGCGCGCTGTCCTGCTTGTCCATGTCTGCGTGCTTCTCCACCAGCAGCTGTACCAGGGGCAACTGCCCTGTGACAGCAGCCAGCATCAGCGGAGTTGCCCCGTCCCCGTTGACCAGGTTCACGTGGTTGGGGTCTTCATCAGCAATCTCCTTGACCAGCTGGAAGTTTCCTACAAATGGCAGGAGTCCATGTGACCCACAGCCCCTGGCACCACAAGATCATTTATTCAGTTGTCTCTCGTGATGAACAGTTGCTCACTCTGCCTCTGCTGTGGTCCTGGGGGCCACTAAGATGGGTCAGAAAGACCCCTACTCAGATCCCTCTATCTATGACAGAGGGAGACCAGCATATGAGCAAACACAAGTGCTATCTGTGTCTCAGAGCGCAGGGAGAGGGAGGAAGGGCCACACGCCTGAAGAGGAAAGATACAGGTCTAGATGGTGAGCAGGAATCCAGGAGGGCTGCCCGAAGGTGGTATCTGCATCAAGAGAAAACCCTAGAGCTTGGGAGATGGATCAGTGGGTAAAAGTGCTACTCATGCAAGCTTGAGGACTCGAGTTTGAATCTCCAGACCCCACATAAAAGACAGACACGGCATGTAGCCTAAGTGTCTGCAATCTCAGTGCTCCCAGGAGACAGGAGTGTTCCTAGGAGACAGAGTACCAGCAGCTGACAAGCCAGCGGGCCTGATGTATGAAGCAGAACAATATGGAGAACCCTCTCAGGGTGGAACGTAAGAAAAGAAGGTGAGTGACGGTGAGGACGACCTCTGACCTCTGCATGATGGCTGCCATGGGAGTGCCTCTTCTTCTCTTACACACACACACACACACACACACACGCACACACACACACACACACACACAAACACAGAAACTCTGGGCTAAAGAGCCTTTCTGTCATAGCAAACCTGAGGCTCATACAAAGAGCCAGGTACATCTAGCTGGGGGACCTGGGGGAGTGTGTGCTAGAGCCTGTGGGTAGAACACTCTAGTAAATTACAGGCCTCCAGGGCCCACCCTTCTCTGCTGAGAGTGCATTATAATGTCACAAAAGTTAAAAACTATATTTTTAATTAAAAGCAAACAACAAAACTACATTTCTTTATCAGATTCCTTGTGCCTGTGAATAAGGGTGGGAACTGGGCTGGAGGGTGGGACTTGGGCTCTTCAATATCCAGAAAAGCTCTCTGAAGCACTTACCCATCTTCAGGGCGTGGAAGATATCTGGTCGCCTCTTCTCCTCATCTGGGTAAACAGAGATTTCCAGAATAAATGGAGGAGAAGTTTAATAGAACTCTAAAGCCACAGGCGGTCAGAGCACAGGCTAGTTTTCTAAAGGGCAAGTCTTTAAAAGTCATGGGCCAGAAGCTTACAGCAGGGGACATGTGACAGCCCTCCTGGGAAGCTGTCACTCCAGGCTTTTGAAAACACTGCAAATTGTGGGGTGTATTTACCTAGGTTAACTAGAAAGCATGGTCTCGGAAAAAGTTCATTCTATAAGAATTTGAAAAAGAAACTGATTTTTTGTTTAACTTCCAAAATCTAACTACAGTTAGCTAAGTACAAGGTCAGAGAACCCTGTGACACTGAACCGCTGAGCCCTGGAACTAACAACTATGGCTCCCCAGAAATGCCAACAGCACCCTTTCTTTCTTCCCAGGCACTAAGACTTGAGTGGGGGGCCCTGCCTGTCTATAGACAATTGGCTAGCCAACAGTCCATCAGACAGTTCACATGAGCTCTGACCCTTGACCTGGTGCTGCAACTCCATGTCCACAAGCCCCACCCTCCAGATGCTCAGGCTGTGCCTGGCCCAGCAGTTGTTCACAACAGGCATTCCCTAAAGCCAGCGAGCAGGCTGAGCAGCACAGGAAGGACTCCTGCACCGGCCTCAACTCCATGAGGGACACCCATGGCTCTGGGCTGCCTGGGAGGAGCAGTGAGCCATGTGAGCCAGAACTCGCCTTTCTAGACAGGCTGTCCCATTAACGGCAACACCTGTGCCACCGAGTTGTCAGGTGGTATAGGAAGGAGGTGCTTCAGAAACATGAAGCCTATCAGGGTACCACTGTGCTAACTGGCCCAGCAGCCACCCCAGCCAAGCTGCAGAATGGAGTGACTCCGTGACTTTCAGTATCAAGTACAGCCAGGGCCACAGAACAGCAGGGCTAATTTTGCCTGTGATATATCAATACATGGTGCTATATTGTAGTCACCCAAAAAGCACCTCTGGGGGATGGAAAGATGGTTCAGCAGTTAAGAGCATTGGCTACTCTCCCAGAGGACCCAGAGGTACATCAGTACCCACATGGTGACTCATTGCAGGGGATCTGGTACCCTCTTCTGGCCTCCTGGGCACCAGGCACACATGCAGTATACAGATATTCATGCATGCAACATACCCATATATATAAAATAAAATTTGTAAAAATACAAGTTCCTTTAATTGCTTACAAGCTCAGTTTGCTGGGCCCAGGCCTTTTTGAGGAACAAGAATGTCACTAATCTTATTGGCGGATGCTAAGCAGCTACCTGGTACAATGAGTCACTGACAGTCCAGCCTGGCTCTTGAGGCTGGGGTAGCTGTTCTGACAGGTGGGCCTTTCTTCACTCCGGGCTTTAGTGGTGTTGTCCAGGGACTCCACCACGTCCTAAGGAGAACAAACCTGCCCCAACCTCTGCACAGCACGAGACAGAAGAATGTCACAGTCACTAGGCAGCTTTGATTGGGACAAGAAAGAACAGAGAGGCCAAGGTCTTGTATGGGTGGATTTCCTTCATTTTCAAGGAAGAACGGTGAGTCTGTCTGTCTGTCTGTCTGTCTGTCTGTGTCTGTCTGCGTGTCTGTGTGTGTCTGTGTGTGTGTCTGTGTGTGTGTCTGTCTGTGTGTACTGCTGATGACTTAAAAATCTTTGTTATGATGATAAATCATGCAGCCTTCACACCTGTGGTGATCCTCTCGGCGATTAGAGCACTTGCTGGACTTCTGAGGTCCACTCACTGTTATGTTCCCCAGGCGACCATCTCTGCCATTTTACGATGCCCAACACGGCCACTATGGCTTTCTTCATCTCGTTCTTATCCACTGTTCTCACTCACAGCACTGACCTCTCCCACACAGTCATTTATTTCCTACTTATAACCTGCCTTCCCCTACCGAGGCCACTGTCCTCCAGGGTGGGCACCTGCATCTCAACTGCTGACTGGCACACGCCTGAAGGGCTCCTGGAAGCTAGCAGGCATCCCACAAACACTAGTAAACTGAACTTCCACTGTTGGGAGCTACGCACCTGGCACTGAGACAGACACTTCAAAGTACAACTGTCACAGGGCCTGGCAAGAGAAATGCATCTATACTTCATGAAACCGGATACCAGCATTCCCAGGAAGCCAGCGCCATGCCAGCGGTCACACAGCCTGAATGGGCAAAGTGAAGCTCAAGCCAGGTCTGGCGGAGTCAGCAGTTGTCTCCCACTTTGCTGGGTGCCCAGGCTGTGTGTGACACTGTTGAGCAGAGGTTCCAAATCGCAATGTGCTATGTAACTGCTTCACTAAGAACGACCCTAAAAACAGCAGCGAATGAACACAAGACTGCCAGAAAAACCCAGACTCGGAAGAGAGCCACTGCACATTCACTGTGCGCTGTCCTCAGAGACTGATCCCAGCACCTTCCAGAACAAGGGTACAAACCTAAGCTTAGGACCAACATGTCCCAAGTTTGTCTCTGCACTCATCACAGGGTCATACCCACTCACTTGCATTCTAAATATGCCTGCTTCCACTCTATAACAAGGGTCAATAATCATTGCATCAGCACCTACATAGTCCAGGAAGACTAAATATTCATTATCTGGCCTTTTACAGAGAAAGCTTTGCTAGCCTCTGTTCTAGAGGGATCCTAGGACCACCTACATCAGAGTCAGCTAAGGGAGGAAAGGCCTTACCGTACAAGTTCACAGGCTCTACCCCCAGAGTATCTGGTTATGTTGGGAAATGTGTAAGGCCTGTGTGTAACATTCACTCATGGGTACTGTGTAGCTCAAGGCTCATGGCCTGCATGTCAAGACTCCTTCTGCACACTTTTTTGGTTTGGCAAACCTTGGCTTGTGCAAACCTAAACAATCCTCTGTGAGGCCACAGCAGGAACCAGGGTGGTGGTGGTGGAGTGAGTTTTGGGGGAAGTGGTGGCGGGTGGGAGTGGTGGGTGATGGGAGGGCTGGGGGAGGGAGTAGCAGTGGCTGGGCAGTAGCAAGGGAATGGGCCTGACCTGTTTTCGGCCTGACAGTGGTCAGTGGGTCCAGGTAGTCAGCCAGATCCCTGTACTTCCGGTCAAGGGCAACCTCAAAGGCCGTCTTCTCCAGCACGCCAAGGTGGTCGGGGTTGGCTCCCTTCTCAACCAGTTGCTGCACCACACTGAGCTTCCCAAGGAGGGCTGCCAGCATCAGAGGGCTCCAGCCCACCGTCCGGGCTGTGTGGTTGGGGTCCGCACCCCACTCCATCAGCAGGCGTACCACAGCCTCGTGACCATGTTGGACGGCGGCCATCAGGGCTGTGATGCCCAGCAGTTCGTCTCTGCTGCCTCCAGTTGCTGGTGACTCTCCAGAAGGGTTGTGATGGTCCACGATGGCACCCGACTCTAGCAGCAGCTTCACCACACCCAGGTGGCCACCCCGAGAAGCCACCGTGAGCACACTGGCGCCCAGACGATTCTGAGCATTGACATCAGCTCCGTGATCCAAAAGGAGGTTTGCCACACTCGCATGTCCACATCTGCCAGAAAAATAGGGGTTGGTGACACTAAACAGAAAACACTGACAAACCGACAGCTCTAATATCACTCACTACTGTCAACTACTGCAGGCACAGGGGCTTTTCAGAGGGAATGACCTCAGCTTGCTGTTAAATACCAGGCTGGCCCTGAGCAAACATCCTCATCTGATGACAGAAGCCATGACCAGGTTGGAACCTGGTCTCTCCTTCATATGATGTTGAGCAAGGAACTGTTTCCTTGTGCCTTCATTTAGTGATCTGTAAAATGGGACTATAATCATACCCACCGAAGGGCTGATCGAGGCTTACTGAGCATATATACAAAGGAATCAGGCACTCAGTATCAGCTATGATCATCGCCATGCCTTTCCCATTCCACAGCTTGCTACAGTCACCTGCCTGGCTAAGGGTCATCTGGGATAAAACATCCAGCCTTGGCTGGACACGCAGATGCACACCCTTAATCCCAGCACTTAAGAGGCAGGAGGATTTCTATGAGTTTGAAGCTAGCCTGCCTACATGTTAGACCCCTGATGCCCAAAATTGAAAGAAACGAAACCCAATCGCAAGGCTCGGGATAGCTCAGTCAGTAAGATGCTTGCCTTGCAATCATAAGAATCAGGACTCGGATCTCTAGAACCTATATAAAGATGCACAGGACAGCAGAGGCAGGGCATCCCCGAAACAAGCTGACTAGCCAGACTATGTCAGCAAGCTCTGGGTTCTGGAGACCAGGCCTCAGTGAATCCTGTGCAGAGCAATCAAGGAAAACTCCTTACACAGGCCTCAAGTCCCCACATGTGTGTTGACACATGTACCTATATACATGCAAACATGAAAATGTGTGTACACACACTAAAAATAAATGGACAAGGTAGTGCATATATATAACCCCAGCAGCAGGGGTATTAAAACAAGCTGGTCAACGTAACCTGCGTGCCTGCTTTCTGTGCTCCAAGCCCATGAGAGATTATGTCAAGAAACCAAGGGGTCTGGAGGGATGGCTCAGCAGTCAGGAACACTTGCTGCTCTTGCAGAGGACCTAGGTGTGATTCCCAGTACCTACACGGTAGCTTACAACCATCCACAATTCTAGCTCTAGGGTATTTGAAGTTGTCTTCTGAACTCAGGGGATACCAGGTATACACATGCACAGACATGCAGGCAAAATAGCATACACAAAAAAACAGAAGACAGAAATCTAAATACACACACACACACACACACACACACACTGAGGTCTGAATCCATCTGCCTATACCAGTCTGCCCTCCACATCTGAGTTCTCTGTACTCTGAGTTATGCCCTGCTGTCTCTGCTGGTTCTCTGATTCCCTCATGGGCAAGGCCCTTGTGGTGATTCATTTCTACCCTTCTCAGCTCCCACCATCGCCAGCACATCCCAGTGTGGCAGCTGCCCTGGGGCAAAAGGACTCTGGCACCTCCACGGAGTCCTACTGCCACCTGCTGGCAGGAATGTCCACTGCAGGTGACTATGAACCTGGCTTATTCCTGTCCTTCTCAAAGCTCCAGCTAGCTTCAGCACCAAAAGAAGACAGACAGGTTCCTGCCAACTCCCTGACTCCAGGAGGAGGACAGATGCTGCTTCTCAGTGAGCAGACTTATGTTTTGAGGTGTTGTAAGGTCTCTGAGAGGAGAGTGTCCAAGCTAGAGAAGGTTCCTCCTAAGAGGAAGCAAAGACAAACCAAGAGAAGGGGGTGTGAGGAGACCACAGTCTTCTAACTACAGGTCAGGCTTGGAGGCTGAGTTGCTGCTCCCCGCTCCTTTCTGGAAGTGGATTCTGTGCTTCAGCTTTCTCCCCTTGAAGGAAACAGGGCCAGGGCTGAACTCTGGTCTGAGGCTCCAGCTGAATATAAAATACCTTCTGGGCTGTGAACCTTGACACACCAGGCTGCCTCCTGCAGTGTGCAAATGAGAACCTGGTGACCTGGCCCCCCAGCCCAGGAGGCCTCTTCTCCAGAGCAGAGAGGTGAGTGAGGAAATACACTCCCGTACAGAAATTACAAACTCAAGGCCCTGTCCTCTTCCTTGCTGCCCATCCTCCAGGCAGCCCACACACACCTAAACCTGAAGGTCTCTCCCTACTGCCCAGGGTCAGGAGTGCTGCCTTCATTGTTGATATTTCGCAGCCCCTTCCCCCATCTTCCTACCCTCCTTCCGTGTACTCCATCATGAGTGTGACTCTTCTGCCATTCGGTTCTGCCAAGCCAAGTGTGCTGCTCAGAGCCCACACCCATCTCACCAACTCTGAGCAGTCTCCTGGGCTCCCTTCCAAGGACCCCCACGTCTGCAGCTTTTCTCTATCTAAACCTCAGCCCTCTTTCAAAAACTGTTTCCTGCCTACCTGATGGTGGCTAAGGACAGGGTTAGGGGACTTCCTGGCCACTGACACAGGAGATGGCTCAAGTTAGCTTTCAATATATTCTGTCTCACGAACTAGTAAAGGAATGCACTGCACTGACAGGGAGGGGAGATCTGAGAGACAGAAAGCAACCAGGGGCTGCTCTGGCCTCCGCTGCAGTAGAGTTAAAAGCTCCCACCGGTTTGGGGAGCACAAAATAAACTCTAGTATAATCTCTAGCTGCAGATTACAAGGTACTTTCAGATTCTTATCTCATCTGAAATCCCGGAGATGTACTCAGTGCCTCCCACGTCACAGATAAGGAGGCAGCAGAAAGCAATTAATCTCCATTTGAAAGTGACAAGACCCAAACCAGCCCCAAGAAGTTCAAATCGCAGCTCCTCCAGCCTGCCTGGTTTCCACAGAGGAAGCAGAGGGGGCTGAATTTGAGCAGAAATACTGAATTTTGCAATGTTTTCTGAACTCTCAGGTAGCCCTAGAGAGCATTCAATTAGGCTGAAAAAATGTAAAATGATCCAACGGTGCCCGAGATAATTTTTTGGGTGTTCATTTTCTAATAAGTAATTACTGGAAATAGGGCTGCTGGGGGCTTCTGAGCAGGTGCTGAGACTGCCAATTAATTTCAGCAATTAACACCTGCGCTTTAAAAGCTGGCACACGATCCTGCCACTCAGAGCACCTGGCATGAGTGGGATAAAGACGGAAGTGGGTGGAAGGTAAGTGGGTCAAGGTGCGTCTAGACAACCATGCCATGCTGTCCCCTGCTCAGAATCACTACCAGCGCCCTGGAGTTGTCAGTTGCTGGATTCACAGCTCTCGGACCATCCATCAGTCTGTGACTCTTACTCTGTCACCCAATTAGCCTTGTGGCTGTGGACAGGTTACGTAACTTCTCTGTACCTCAATTCCTTGTCTCTAAAGGGGGGACAACAATGATACATACTTCCTGAGGTTTGGGGTAGACTGAAGGAGTGAATCCATTTAAAGCAATAAGCACTGTGCTGGACACAAAACAGGTGCTCGAGAAAGGTCACTGTCAGCCGGACCCAATGATGCAGGCTGGGCTGATGTAGGGCAATTAGACCTGCTTGAGCTACATGGTAGGTTCAAGAACAGCCTGGGCAATTCAGTGGGACTTTGCTTTAAGAGAGGGCTGAGGTGGTAACTCTGTGATAACATGCCTGTCTGCCAGGTACAGGCCCTAAGTGCAATCCCCACTCCTGGGGAGGGGGAAGAAAAGAATAATCTATTATTTTTGCAAACAGTTACTATGGTTCTACTAAAACCATAGGAAGCCATTGTCTCCAATCCTGGCACAGGGCCTCTATGGCTTACCTCATCGACGGATGTTAGAACACACAACAAGATGACAAACACAAGTCCACTTAGGCAGGCACAATGACTGGAGCACTATCCGAGGATTCTGAGAGGAACACAAGGATAGAGAGTGGCCATGCACAGGTCATCCTGACTTGAGGGACCAAGAGACCAAGCGATCGACAAACAGACCCTCTAGGAAGTCTCCCTACATTGGTCCCCGACCCTGAGTTGTCACATGGACCAGACAGCACACAGCCTAGAGCATCTCAACTCCAGTGCAGTGGAGTCTCCTCTGAGTTGACTTAAAGTGCCTACCCAGGCCCTGGAGAACAGGCAAGTGTGAAGTCTAATCCTCTCCTCACAGAGGTACCTTCTACCTTGGTCTCATAGAACAGTAAGGTGTGTGTCATACTAATGCTCTCAAAATAGCATCTGCTGGGGCCAGAGAGATGGCTCCACGGTTAAAAGCACTGGCTGAGGACAGTCCAGAGGACTCGGGTTCAATTCCCAGCACCCATCTGGCTGCTGATAACTGCCTGTATCTCTACTTCCAAGGACTCTCGTGCCCTCCTCTTGCTTCTGAGGGCACCAGGCATGCATATGGCACACAGACATTGGTCCAAGTAAAACACCTACGCTGATAAAATCGTAATTAGAAAACAGCACTTGTGGTAAACTGAGGCACGAAAAGACAGCCCAAAGCATCTCAGTTACAAAGTGTCAAAGCTGGAGTGCTTGCCCTCACAGACCCCATAACCAGGTGAAGGACTAACAGGCCCAGGCACCGCACACAGGCTGCCAGCGGGGCCTGCCCTCCTTCCTTCCCTCTCCCTTGCTAATAGATCACTCACATTCCAAAAGCTAGCCACCAAGTTCCGTTCCCTCATTTGGCTACTTCCCTGTGCTGACCAAGATACCACATTAAAACTCCAAGGTCGAGCAATAGTTAAAACTCATTATTTGGCTACACTGGCTAACTGTCCAATCAGGACTTACCAACTAACTCACCCTAGCACAGATTTCCATTTTTTCTCCTTAAAAACCACTCCTGCAGAGATACCTGCTGCTGTCTTTGCCATATCCAGAAGCAGCTCCTCCCTCCCTCACAACACCCCCCCCATCCCTTCGGCTGATTTCAAGGTCCTCTCACCAACTTTTATACCAGAGAGTCCTCTGACTGTGTTAAATTGTTAATTAATCATCATGATTAGGTTAAGCATACTGCCCATCGACAAACAGGAGTTGAGGAGTACATTGATGCACACCCAAATCCCAGCACCGGGGAAGTAGAGGAGGTTCCTGCGTTCAGAGCCAGCCTGATCCACATGAAGGCAGTAATAATCAGAAATAATGGTAATAATAATGATGATGATGAAAAGGGGGTGGGGGAGGAGGAAGAGGAGGAAGAGGAGGAAGAGGAGGAAGAGGAGGAAATAGTTAATCAGCTGATGTGGGCAATCCTGCAGAAGTTAGTTAACAGCAAACAGCAGGTGACAGGGGTTGGTGGTAGTGCAACAAACCAATGCTGTAATCCCTTACAAGCAAAGCTTTCAGCAAGTTCCCAGGGCTTGCAAGGCCTCTATGGTGGGCAGATCTCAGAGAGGAGATGTATACCTGGGCCTCTCAAATGTACAGTCATTCTGAGCCTCTTTCTTATGCCCCTTCCTGTCCTCCACCTCTCTCCTCCGCTTCCCTGTCACAACCTTCAGAAAGGTAACCCCAGGAACCCCATCTGAAAAGACATCCCAGGGAGTCTTAGGTATAGCCAGGGTTGGGTACACAGTGGAGAGGGCTTTCCCGGTAGGACGAGGCCAGAGGCCATGGCCACACCATGGTGGAAGACGCTAAGCTTGAGGGTGAAGGGGCTTTGCTGAGAGCCGCAGAGGCTCTAACTCAGACTAAGGGTTCTGTGGAGACTCCCTGCCAACATACATTCTGTCACCTGAATCTCAGAGTCTCACCTGTAAGGTGCGGAAGATAACCTTGGTTCAGATTTAGCTTTTTTAAAAAGTACAAAGTGATACAGAGAAGGACCAGATGAAATCCAGGTCTGAGCCTGAGAGACTAGAACCAGTGGCTGAGGAGTGTGAACAGCAGTGTCATCCTGTTTAGGGCAGCTGCTGCGGATGGGCACAGCCAAGCACTTGTTCCAGAAAGACCTGGAAGCTCTTCCAAGTGGTGGGGGCAAAGGCATACCTGGAAGAGAGGAGTACAGTGGGAGACGGCTACAGAGGTGTCTGTGGACAGGGGTGAGGGGATGGAGAAAGAAGTGGGGGAGAGAGAGAGAGAAAGTGTGTGCATTCCAGGGATATCACAAGCCATTGGTGGCGAGGAGTGCTAGACAGGGAAGCTCACCTGGAGGAAGAGTGGACACTGCCACTAAGGGGAAAGGAGGGACCTAGAAAAAAGATTGTAAGGTCACCTCTGATGCTCTGGCATTCTCCACTGGTGCCACCTGCTATGTGACTGAAAGCCAAGCTCACTCTCAGGACTGTCCCTCTGAGGCTAGAGAGATGGCTTGGCAGTTAAGAGTACCTGCTGCTCATAGGTTTGGTTTCTACCATCTGTGTGGCAGATTATAACTGTATGTACCTCCAGTTCCAGGATATCCATCGCCCTCTTCTGGCTTGCCTCAGGTACCAGACACCCATGTGGTGCACATACACACAGGCACCAAACACTCATACACATAAAATAAAAACAAGTCTAAAAAGAAACATTGTCTCTTTTCTTGTATTCTGCAGCTCAGAACATTTATAAGCCCCAGTCAGGGAGAGATGGATGTTGCTGCCTCTCCAGACCCCTTCGCAGGGTCAGAGATGGATGTTGCTGCCTCTCCAGACCCCTTTGCAGGGTCAGACAACCTCCAGGATCAGCTTCTGGTTGATCCAGGCCACTAATTGTCTCTTCCTTGGGCTGCTGTCATCTTAACCAGCCTTCCTGATTCTGGCATTCTCTCTGCCCATTCTCACATGTACTGAATGTAACTTATCCAAAACAAAAGTTTGTTCCAATCACTGTGGCCTGTGCCGTCCACACTCTTGATCATCCTTAGATTTCGGGCTTCTTTTCAGCCCCAATCTGGCACCTACTTTCTTCTCTCCAATAGTGGGCTTGTCTCCTATTACTTCCAGCCTTTTCTGGGTCCCAGCATCCTCCCAGTTGCCCTATTCTCTCTCCTCCCCTCCACCCTACCCCTGCCTCCACATTCCCCCCCCTCCCCCGTTTTGGATAACTCTTACAAATCCTCAGGTCTTTCCAGCTCATTTCTACTAAAAATCGCCTCTATTCCTCCAACTGGGTCAGATACTATCGTCAGACCCTCCAGATTAAGAGTACTACTTATCTCATTCTTATCTCCAAAGTGGGGACCTAACTGGATCCCGGTTATCTACCTCCCCCCAACCCCCAAAGCCAGGGTGAGTAGACAGGTTCTTAGGAGAGAGACCCTTGATGCAAAACGGAATGAATGAACTTCTGGAAGATGCACTCAGCAGCCTCCACACTGTTCAAAAGCCAAAGTTTCTAACATCCCTAATCTGTGTTTCTGAAACCGCCCTTTTATTTCCATCATACAACTGACCAAAAAAAAAAAAAAAAAAAAAAAAAAGCAAGGCTCCAAGTCTGCCATTCGCACTCTCACGAGTCTCGGACTCTCTCCTTCCCGGTCCCCGCTCACCTGGCCGCCTGCATGAGCGCGCTCCAGCCGTAGTGGTTGCGGCTGTTGACCGAGGCTCCGCGGCGCAGCAGGAACCTCACGAGTGGCTCGTGGCCACCGGCCGCAGCCAGTTGCAGCGCCGAGTTGCCCGCTTCATCCGAGCAGTCCACCGGCACCGGCGCCCCGGCCTCCGCTGCCCGGGCCGCCTCGGGCCCTGCCGGCTCCGCTCCCGCCTCCGGCCCCGCGACGGGCTCCGCGCCTGGCTCCAGCAGGCGCCGTGCTGTGTCGGTGTCACCCTGCTCGCAGGCACGGAGCAGCAGCTGCAGGCCCGGGGCCAGCGCGCCCTCGCCCATCGCCCGCCGTCCGCCCCGCGCCGCCGTCCGCTCCCACCCCGGGTCCGCGCGCGCGCCCGCCGTCCGCAGGTCCGCCCCCTGGGTGCGCGCGCGCCTCCGGGGCCGCGCCTGCTGGGTACGCGCGCGCAAGACCCGCCTCCCGGCTTGGAGGGTGGGCCTGTGACTGTGCGGTCACTCTTCAGTCTTTCTGTTCGGAGCGAATCCAACCGCTGGGCCTAGCTTAGAACTCATCCCGGGGCTCCACCGACCCCATGCCGCCCCGCACTTCACTAGCGTTTCCTAAACAGTCGCAGGCTGAATTGGGACGGATGGGTCAGCCCTGTCGTTTGCCGGAGCAGCCCTGCAGTGCTAGGTTCTTCTTCATCTGTGCCAGACTACCAGCCCCTCTGTCTCTTGTCTTTGACGTGGGTCACCACTACTATAGTAACTTACTTGTTACGGATTTTTCTGGCCACACCCTAGATCCACTGAGTCAGAAACTCGGTGTAGGAACAGCAACTGTTCTGGTGTCAAGCCCTCCGATATATACACAAAAGGTAGGACCCACTGACTGGTCCGCAGGGCAGTCCTGGTAGCTACCCTGGAGGTTTAGATGATTATTCCAATCAATATAAGAAGAGTGGCCGGGAAGGTTGTATGTTGCTATAGTCTGCACAGATCTGCACGCGCTGCTGTGGCTAGGACTCAGGCCTTTTGACATCAAGTTCATCTCTCTTTCCGGAGTCAATAACAAATATGTATTGGATGCCTGTTAGTGTCAGGCACAGCTCCACGTGCCGGAAATGTTTACAAGATAGCATCTCTGCCTTCAAGGAATTGACCCACCTGTACAGGCTGTAAAGATACGCTGTGGAAATAAACTTGGCTGCTGAATGATAGTGAGTGCTGTTGACACAGTAAACTGAACATGAATCCAGGCAAAATCCGGCAGAAGGTGGGGTATTGTTTTATAACTGAGCCAACAAGGGAATTACTGAAAATGTAATATTTGCAAAAACCTTAAGGAAAAGAGTAAACCATGGGGACATTTGGGGTGTGTGGGGGGGGGGGAAAGCTAGTTAAGCAGAAAGCCATAAAAAGGTCCTAAGGAGCAGGCCTAGGCACAAGCAGGTCACATGGTACTTGTCATTACAGCATGAACACGTCCATATAAAGAAACATCTGTTTTCCCTAGATGATTGGTAGTTGTCCCCAAACCCAGCAAGAACCCAGACATGCAGTTAGACAATACTTGTTACACACCAAGTCCCAACAAAGTATCATGATAACAGCATAACTGTTAGGTCTGGGCAGGCATGAGTCACGGGTGCAGATCAGAGAGGATGGGGGTGAGGAATCAGGGCTAGAGGATGAAAAAAATGCTATATATAAAAATGAGAAAATATCTTGAAGGTTTTCAGGGCTTGAGTTGCAAAAGACTTCAATGCCCTGCTACAGACCTGGAGTTTATTCTGTTGGTGGGAACCTGGAAAAATGTTTGGGCAAGTCAGTCAAGGGCTAGAGCTAACCTCTCCTGATTCACTTCCACATCCAACCCAAATTGCGGCAATAGGGTTGGCATGGGAGACAACCACCTTTGGAATTTCTAAGGAAGCCATTTATTTCCTGGAAGATCTGAATAATTGCACCTCTTTCTTATTTTCTTTCTTGTCTCTTATGTTTTCACTATTATTTCATTATGACAGCAATATAAAAGTAAAAGATAAGGCAAAGCTCACTGATACATTCCTGTAATCCTAGAACTTGGGAGACAGAGGAAGGAAGATCATGAGTTCAAGGTCAGCCTGAGTTACTGAGATCTTGTCTCTGAAAGCAAATAGGGTGGGAAACCATTCTGTTGGATCTGAGTTCAGATCCTCAGCACCCATGTTAAAGTTGGGAGTGGTGGTACATGTGCATAAACACAACATTTGGGAATAAGAATTGGAAAGGCAGGCAGGTGCCTTGTGGGAAAAAACACATGTGTCCATGGAAGAAGTTTATTGTCCATGGCATGAAAGTTGGATCTTGATGTGCATGCGCCCCTAAGAGCCAGGGGAGAGCTGGCTTGTATAGGGGAGTGGGAAAGAGGAGGGACTGGGAAGGGATAACTTAATTAGCTATGCCCCTCCCACCTTTAGATAACTCATTAATATGTAAAATTCTCAAGGCAGAGGCCTGTTAGTCACGCCCTCTACCTGTGTATTACATGATTGACAGTACAGGTTACATGGAGATTAGACTGGAGATTAGACCGAGTGTCAGGGCCCTGGGTTCTGGAGGTGTGGCCAAACACCTGTAGTCTTGGGGTTCCAGGCCCATGCCAACCCACAAACCAAGATGCCCTTCCATGGCCCAACATCCCACTCTCTTCTCTTTCATAAAAGGAGGGGCATCTCTTGTGTCATCTGTAGTCTGCAAGGTGCAGGTTATTGGAGATGTAGACCTCTCTGTGGGAGGGGCTGTGGAGGGCTGAAGCTGAGAGAGCCAGAGGCCCAGGAACAGAGCTGAACGCCTTCCATCCCAGGGGGTCTCTGGGCTTCAAAGCTCGTTCGACCAGGCGCCCAGCTGTCTCTCGTAGCTCACCGCCCCACAATTCCCTTTCTTTTAGGAGAGGTGTCATCAGAATAAGTGTCATCTGTAGTGAAAATTTTGGATGAGGAAGTCAAAAGAAAACACTACACAGGTAGGGGGGCGGAGGTGCAGCATAATTAAGCCAAGGGTAACGGGAATTGAGGGTGGGATTGGGAAGGCAAGGGATCATCGAATCAATTAAATACATGTTGTACAGTTTGAGGGTAATGACATCTGATTAATCTAAATAGACATTATGTTTTCCTCACTAACATGTTACTTCAGCTATGTGACTTTGGCAAAAGAGTTTATCTGCAGCTGGAAGGTCTGTATCTGTCTTCTGACTCAGCATGTATTTCTGTGTCTTAGGGAGCATCTCTGGGTTTTGGCGTGCTTCTCTGGAGTCTGGCATGTGTCTCTGGGTCTTCAGCCATATGAGATGGCTGGGACAAAGCAGCTTGGCGGGTTCCAGGAGGTGGCGCTGTCTCTGGGTCTCAATGTGTCTTTGGAGTCTATAGTCAGACGAGATGGCTGGGAGAAGACAGCTTGGCATTTCAGGCAGGTTCCAGAAGATGGCGCTGTCTCTGCTGGATCTGTGGGTATAATCACAGGGAAGCAGCATCCCAGGTGTGGAGATGCATGCAAAGGCTGGATATTGAGCATTAAATCACTTGGGAGCAAGCACATCATGGTCTGTCATTAAGATTCTGGAAAGGCAAAGGTGTTTGAGGAAATTTTAGTCTTGGAAGATATCTTTGAGTCTGTTTTTTGATGGCTGAAGGAGAAAAACATCATGTTAACTATGTATCTGGGATAAGTAGCAACAGTTTGCCTGTGAAAGGTTGTTAATTAAGACTTGAGAAATGATGATCAGCATGTTGATTTAACCTGTGGAAGTAGATTTAGATGACTTTTGAACCTTGAAGAAATCTTAAAAGTTGAAGAAAATGTTGGACATATATCAAGAGTATTAGAGAGAAAAGGAAATATTAAAACAAAAGGTGAAAAAAAATTGGGTTGAAAATCACGAACATTATTGTTTTAAAAGTTCCTGTTAGGGAGAAAAGGCATTAATGGCAGAAAAGCACGAACATTGTTGTAGGTATTCCTGTTTGGGAGAAAAGCATTAATGGAGGGTTCAGAAGCAGTGGGGGGAGGGGCTTGCTCTGCCCTGTGCTCACTAGCAGGGTTCCCCCCACTTTGTTTTTAATCTTAAATATAAAGACAGAGAAGAAAAAGTAACCTTGAAGAAAACTCAAAGCAAGAAACATAGGGGCTTGATAGGAGAGTTAGGAGCAGTGAGGTTCTGTGTAAAAGACTAAGTCTCAGGAGACACATGGGAGCTGGGTTGGAGTCGGCAGCTCTTGGGAGAGAGAATAGTCTCAGCTGAGAGAAGGAGTCTCTCAACCAAGGGAAAGAGTCTCAGAACAAGGGTTATAGCAGGCGCTGTGGCCTGAAGGACAGCTGTTAGCTGTGAAGGAGCCCTCTGTGGAGCTGGGGGTATGGGAAGAGTGGGGGGCTAGGGAGCCACCACCATCTTGCCCTTGAGCTGGAGAACAGGTGGAGAGAGAGACCTAGTCTTTTTGAACTAGGCAGGAGTTAGACTGTAGCTAAGAATTAGAGAAAAGACGTTAGCAAGGAACACGAGAGAGAAAGAGAGGTGGACAGAGAGAGATGTTACTCACGGTTTTTGTAGGTGCCAGCAGGGGGCACTCTTGGAGCTGGCTCTGCACGTGTTGTCTACCACTAGCAGGGGAAAAATGATAACCCACGTGCCTCGGGGATCACGTGGGCGTGGAGTTCTCTGTTGTGTTGAGTTGTGAGTCTCTGTGCATCTTCTGTTCTTCACAGGCACTGGAGAGAAACATCAGCGTGCGCAGGTTTAGCTGAGTAGGTTCCACACATGGTGCTGAATGGGTGCACAGAGCTAAGCCTGGCAGGGGGAGTCCTCACTCAGCTTTGGGTTCTGCTAGGCTGGGCAGTTTGCGGTGGACCCGGAGGCTGATGTCTCTATTTGGAGCCTCCAGACGCCACTGGGTGGAGGCAGCAGATCAAAATAGAGACGGGGACACACAAGCACAGCTGGCGGCTTGGCACAAAGAGACAGGAGGCTCTGACACCGCGCCTCACGGGTTGGGCGTCCCAGATCTTGAAGTCCGTGGGTGTCTGTGTCCCACGTTAGGCGCCAGCTGTGGGAGAAACACACGCAGGTGGGAGTCCCAAGCCCGGATCCGGGCCCGAGCAGCAGCATCCCGGGACTGCAGCAGAGGCTGCCCATGGAGGTTAGCTGCGGAGTCCCAGGGCTCCCCTGCCAGCAGGTTGCCACATACTGGAGAAAGTCTGAAGTTTCAAAAGCTGGAAACTTGTCAGCAGCAGGCACAGAAGACACGTGGAGTCCGTGGGAAGAAATTTATTGTCCATGGCATGAAAGTTGGATCTTGATGTGCATTCGCCCCCAAGAGCCAGG